GCTTCCCCTCCTCCCCTGGGAACCAAGGACCTAACAGCTACACTCGCACGTACTCAGTTCCTGAACAATTACCCATGTACGTATGCTTTGGTTCGGTCCCCTGGAAAACGGGGTCAAAATGACCTCTTACCTCATCTGATCTGGCAACAGCTCTCCAGTCAATTATTGGTAATAGCCCTTTCAAATAAGCCAATCAGAATAGTCAAAGAACAACCCCCCCCCCTTGTTTCTGTGGCCCTTTTAAAAGTAGACTGTACCAGCTATTCGAGGTCTCTCAGCTTCCCGAATGCTGGGGGACCCTGTCATGACAGAATTAATAAAATCCTCATGCTTTTGCATCGGCTGTGGTGTGTGAGGTGGTTTCTGGGGGTGACTCCTCCTCGGTGTTTGGACGCTAAAGGGAACAAGCCCGCGCTGTGTTCCAGCCACTGCTGTGATGCCAAGCCCCCAGCACGGAAGCCACTCTAGTCTGGTCTTTTTGTTATTGCTTCTTTTTAAGATTTATTTTATGTGTATGAGTGTTTGGCTGCATGTAAGTATGCATATATGTATGTGTGTATGTATGTATGTATACTGTGTGCATGTTTGATGCCAATGAGCCTATGAAGGTCAGAAGAGGGCTCAGGTCCCCAGGATTGGATTTACAGACAGTTGTGCACCACCACGTAGGTGTTTAGCAATCCAACACTCAGGAGGTGTCTCCAGGGCAGGAGGTCAAGGTCATCCTTGACCTTGCACAAAGTTCCAGGCTACCCTGGACTAGATCTCAAATGCCAACAAACACACAGAGAAACAAAAGCCACGAGGCAGGAAAGGTTACTGCAAGACAGAGCCCACACAGGTGGCACACTGGTCAGGCAAAGACAACGCGCAGCGGAGAAGCTACAGCAAGAGGGGAAGTCTAGGGTTCGGGTGTGGCTCAGGGGTAGATCACAAGACCCTAGGTTCCACAGCCAGCACTGGGGAGAAAAGTCAAGGCAGAGTGAATACAGGAACCCAGAAGCCACACTGGAAGAAGGAAGAGGCTTCAAGCATGGAACACAGAGCAAAGTCCCTGAAATCAGAGGTTCCCTAGGAAAGGCGAGGAGTCAGAGAAACCAGGAAATGGGAGGACAGTGGGAAATGAAAGGGCAGGGGAGGGGAGGAAGCAGGTACAGGACCAGCTAGAGAGGAAGTCCAGCATGGGGCTGACCTCTGGGCTGAGGTTGCAAGGGGAAAATCAGATGGAGAGCCAGCATGGTTGCTCTTCCTGTGATTCTAGTATTAGGGAGGTGGAGGCAGAAGGATGGAGTGTTCAAGGCCAGCCTCAACAACGTAGTGAACTTAAATCCATTTCAGGTCCTTAAGGCTAAAAACAAAAGGCAAGTATGAAATGATACCCCATTTTTTTTTTCTGAAGGCAACTTAAAGAATAGAAGAAAAAAGAATAGATGTTGAGCCGGGGCATAGTCATGCATATGTTTGTCTTGGCTCCTTGGAAGGCTGAGGCAGGAAGAGAACCTGGAGCCCAGGTGTTCCAGGGAAGCCTAGACTAGCAACATAACAAATCCTAACCTCAAAAAAATACAAATAAAAAGTATATGAAACCAAACAAGCAGAATAGAGCGCGGAGCTGCAGGCCTTTGATGCCAGCACTTGTAAATTTGAGAGCAGCCTGGCCTACATAGTGAGTTCCAGGACAGCCAAGGCTATATAATGTGACCCTGCTTTAGAAAAAAAAGACAAGGTGTAGTGACACCTTACCTGGAATCCCAGTGCTCTGGGGGTCAATCTGGAGGACCAGGAGTTCAAGATCATCCTCAGCTACACAGGGAGTTTGAGGCCAGCCTGGTCTCCATGGGACCCTGCCCCAAAATAAGTAAGTAAAACTTTGGCTTTTGCCCACAAAACTCCAGAAGATCTGTAGATCTCACCAGCTCTCCACGCCTGCCCCTGCGGCAGCCTGGAGCGGCCACTGCCCTCGGTTTCCACAGCTCTTTGGCCTCCTCAAGCTCTGAACCTTTTCTGGCTGCAGGCTCTGGGTCTCCAACTGAGCCTGGCCTGAAGCTCCCGTCCTCTGGCTTCTGCCTTCCCGGTGCTTGGGGTCACAGGTGTGGCTCCCTCACCCAGCTCGACCTGTGCCCAAGTGCTTAATGTAACGTCATGATTGCATGTATAGCGTGTGTCCATGTGCATGTACTCAACTAGGAAGCCAGTTCTAGTCTTCCACCATTTTCGTCCCAGGTATCAAATCCCAGGCTTGGCAGCAAGCGCTTCTACACCAATCCCTCTCACCAGCCCGATCCGGTGTATTCTCGTCTACCGAAGCTACAGGGCTCTGGGAGAAGCACACACGCTGTGTAGAGGGTTTGCTCAGTTATTTGCTCAAAGCCAAGTGACATCACTGGGCCTTGAGAATGACAGTTCCTAGTCAGCTCCTCAAGGAGGGACCAGCCAGATGACTCCCCACTTGAAAATGACTGTTTCATGCATTCTAAACCTGCGGCCAGATCACACTCAAAAATGGAGGGAGGCTGGAGAGGCTCCACACTGTGGGAGGGGCTTGCTCTTGCTCCTGTTGACTTTTTTTGAATTTTTTTTTATTATTTTTTTTTTGATACAGGCTTTCTCTGTGGTTTTGGAGCCTGTCCTGGAACTAGCTCTTGTAGACCAGGCTGGTCTCCAACTCACAGAGATCCACCTGCCTCTGCCTCCCGAGTGCTGGGATTAAAGGCGTGAGCCACCACCGCCCGGCGACTTTTTTGAATTTTTAAAAAAAAATAATAATTTATTAAGTATCATTAACATAATATTAATACACAGCAATAGGTTCCATTATGACGTTCTTAAAGATACACAATGTATTGGGCTCACAATCACCCCGTTATCTCTCGCCCTTTCCCTCTGACCCCTGCCCCATCCTGACAAGTCTTCCTTTTTCTTCTGTGTGTGTGCCTTTACCTCCTACTTCAAAATTTTCAATTTCAATATGCATGATATGTGTATGGGCCCACACATCTGCGTGGAAAAACTTTAGAGATCAGTTGGGAGTGGTGGTGCACACCTTTAATCCCAGTAGTTGGGAGGCAGAGGCAGCGGTTCTCAGCGAGTTCAAGGCCAGCCTGGTCTACTTCCACCCACTTTCAGGAAGTCCAGAGCTGTGCCTTGAGGTAACACCTTGAAAAACAAACAAACAAAACAAAACTGTGAAGGTCAGAGGAAAACTTGGTGCAGTTGATTCTTTCCTTCCACTGTGATGTGGATTCCAGGCACCAAATTCAGGCTGCCCAGCTTCATTGCAGGGGCCTTTTCTAACTCACTTCTCCTTTGGTGTCTCTGTGTTGTGCGTGGGTGCATTGTGGTTTCCTTAGGGTTGTTTGCATGAGTATGGACGCCTTACCAGTGGCTACCCCACTGAAGGAACCGCCTCCCCATCCTCCAGCAACTGTTAACACTTGCAGAACCTCGAGGATTGTGTAGATTTATTTATTTCACGTGTGTGTGTGTGTGTGTGTGAGAGAGAGAGAGAGAGAGAGAGAGAGAGAGAGAGAGAGAGAGAGAGAGAGAGAGAGAGAGAGAGAGAGATACAAACCTAAGTGCAGTCACCGACAGAAGCCAGAAGGGGGCGTCAGATAACCAGCCGCTGGAGTTACCGGCAGTTGTGAACTGCCTCCTGGGAACCAAATCTGGTCCTTTGCAAGAGCCGTCTGTATAGTCATAACCGCCAGGGTGTCTTTCTGGCCACTGGAATTATGTTCTTTTTCTCTGGAATTCATTTTTAGGAGGGGCATTTTATTTTAGACAGAACCTCACACTTTAGCCCGGGCTGACCTAGGACTCCCTATTTAGTCAAACTGTCTCAAACTCATTGCAGTCCTTCTGCCTCAGCTTTGTCAATGCTGGGTTTACAGACATGATCTACCACACCAGGACTTTAAAAATCGTTATTACATTTATTTACTTATTTTTAATGGAGGGGGGGGTAGGTCAGCAGCAGCCCATATGTGGAGGTCGGTGGGCAACCTTCGTTGAGTTAGTTCTCTTCTTCCACTATGTGGGTTCCGGGCTGGAACTCCGGGTTCTCAAGGCTTGCCAGAAAACGCCATTCTCTTCTGAGTCATCTTGAAGGCCCACCGCCAGGCTGTATTCTTTGGAATTCTTTTGTTGTTGTTCAGGTTTGGTCTCTGTTTTTAGAGACAGGGTTTCTCTATGTAGCCTTGGCTATCCGGAACTTGATATATATAGATCAGGACAACCTTGAACTCACCTGCTTCTGCCACTCAAGTGCTGGGATTAAAGAAATGAGCCACCAGGCAAACCCTTATTTTTCTTTGGAATTCTAAGGACAGTCTGACTCCTCTGCCCTGGAACGTGTTTATTTATGAAGAAGACAGAGACCCGAGTCTTGAACTTGCCTTGATCCTCCGTCCTCCACAGTCTAGGATTATAGGTGTGCTCCTGGCTTGTTTCCACCAGGGTTTGGGACCCAGGGCTTAGTACGCTTTGGCAGCAAGCACCATCTGAGCCACGTCCCCTGCCTCCCTGCAAGCCCGCAAACTTTGTTGTTTGAAAGAACAGCCAGTTCGCTGAAGAGGGTGATTCTGCCTGCCCCTCTGGGACCCCCCTCCGCCTAAAGTCCGAATTGTGATGGCCTATTTTACAGGGGACTGGCACATGTAGGAGTCAAATCCCACCCCATCCTGCTACTGTGGGGATGGAACCAGAGCCGCTCTGGTACTAGGCAAGCTCTCCGCGGCTTGGTCGCCATAGCCCCTTCTCACCCATTTTAAAGACTTGGTGACTGATTAGAGACATCACACCTGGCTAGGGAGTCCCGCTCGCTCCAGGGCTGGACCTCCCCAGCGCGGCCACCAGGGGTTGTGGGCACCCCAAGAGGCGAAGGCAGGTGGTAACGAAACCAAGTCCAGGGACCCCTCGTTGTCTGGGAGTCTGAGCCCTGGAGGTAAGGTGCCAGGTAGTGGCTGAGACAGGGTTGGGGCGGGGAAATCGAGGCACCCGCCCTCCGCCCGCCAGGACTCAATAGGGCTGGCGGGGAGCTGTAGGCAAAGGCTGGCCGGCGCCGCCTCTTCACTGGTGCAGTCTGGAGCGATCCGCCCGCGGATCGGCAGCTCGGCTGGGTCGGCAGGGCTTGGACTGGACCCACTGGCGAGGTGAGACCGGCCGGGCCAAACATTTAGCTCTGCCTCCCACGGGGGATGGGTCTCTGCCTGTGTTCAGGTCACCCACTTCCTTCCTGCTCGCCTCAGCTGAGAGGTGCGAGTGGGAAATCCACAGCAAGCCCTGCGCTGAGTGACCTGGGGCGAGTCGCGGACCCTCTCTGAGCCTTTATACGAAGCACTGAACGAGGGATTCCGGGATCCTGCACTAGCAGAAACCGGGGGGCTTGGTGGTGAGTGCTGAGGGAACTGAGTCTGAGTAGTAGGGGCAGTCTGGAGGAGGGAGGTAGGGTGTGAGAAGCTGGCCACACCTACCACAGTGCTGGGCTCCGCGGTCAGAAGGTGGGTGTGCAGACAGCTGCTGAGGGTGCTAGGGATCAGAAAGCTGCAGCCACGTGGTATGTCCGTTCTGGGAGTTTCTCAAGCTGGAAGGGGGGTTGGGAGGCCAGGGAAGATCATGGATAGAACTTCCTGAAAAAGGCAGCGAGCGTTGCTGTTTATGGGGGCGAGGTGAACACAAACACAGAACTCACCTTAGAGGTTCAGCAGGACTCGTGTACAAAACAGACATGTCAAATGGGTGCCACGGAAGAATTCAGGCCTGTAATTCCAACACTTGGAAGGCAGAGACAGTGGCTCAGGAGTTCGGCGCCATCCTCGGCTACATAGGCAGTTTGAAGTCAGCCTGGGCTACTTGAGACTCAGGGAGGAAAAAGAATTGGAGTATATGTACAGACAAGCCACTCAGGTTTCTCGGGACCAGAATTCCCATGCCAGAGCAGAGGCGCCCACTCTGTCCGGTTCCGATACACGCAGAGAAAGTGACAGCTAGCAATAGGCAGCCAAGCGTGTAAGGACACAAAAGTGAAACGGGTCAGGCAGAGCAGCCTAGTGAGAGTGTACAGACACTCAGACACTGGAACGGATGGATGCATGCCCAGCACACATACAGGCAGCCCCTGGCACGCAGCCCTCGAGTGTGCTAACTCTGAGAGATTTCTCACGGCCCAGCCCGGCCTGGATGCACGCACCACCACCCCCCACCAGCCCCGTGTCCAGTTCTGGGGGAAGCCCAGTGCTCACATGACCCGAGGGGAGGGCTTCGGACAGCCCTGGAGACAATGCATCATCTTTCCCAGGGGATGCACTTCTGCCCCAGGGAATAAAGACTCGGTGATCTCCTCTTCTGCTCCAGGAGCCAGATTGCCTCTTGCAGGCTCCCTGAGCAGCCTGCCAAGGTGAGTGCCAACTACCAGAGGAAGGTGGTGGAAGAGGCCTGTGGAGCCACCCTTCCCTGGCTCCTCTGCTCCTTGGCCAGGGCCAATTGGTGCTGCTGTGTCTTTGGGACTGACAGCTATGGATGGCTAGCTCCCGTGTGTGTGTGTGTGTGTGTGTGTGTGTGTGTGTGTGTGTGTGTGTGTGTGTTGCGGCAGGTCTCACGTACAGATGACCTCAGACATTCTGTTTCCACTTCTCAAACTTTCTAGCAGCCGAGGCTGGCCTTGAACTTCTGATCCTATTGTTCTGCCTCCTGCTGCCTGAGTTTACAGGCAAGCACCATCACACACAGGCTCACCTTTCCTTGGACAGGGAAAGGGGAGGTCTCGGGCCTGCTCTCTGTCCTTGCCCAGGGACTCCAAACTCTCTCTTCACTCGCAGATGGACGCATGGACCGTGCTGCTGGGCCTGCAAGTCATGTCCCTCCCGCTCCTGACTCACTGTGCAGCCCCGACTCCCACCCTGAAATTTGTAGCTGTGGGTGACTGGGGAGGGGTCCCCAATGCCCCATTCCACACAGCCCGGGAAATGGCCAATGCTAAAGAAATCGCCAGAACCGTGCAGATTATGGGCGCTGACTTCATCATGTCCCTAGGGGACAACTTCTACTTCACTGGAGTGCACGATGCCAATGACAAGAGGTTCCAGGTATTTGCTCAACAACAGGGTTAGAGGGTCCCGAAGGGAGGTCACTC